GCACAAGTATTGGATCAATTTCAGAACATGTGAACAAAATTTGAAAGTTTAAGAAATTGGACAAATGGGTATCACACGAATGAAAACCAAGAGAATTTTCGTTATGACCCATTTCTCGATCGCCTTCTAAAATGGAATCTATGTGGCAAGGCTGTAGAAAACTATGATTGAGTCAATGAAATACTGTTATAGCTACACAGGCAGATTTATTTGCATTTTCTAGAATATAAATGCATAGAAATAACCGTGGTCACAAAATGAGGGATCAGTTTATGTACTGATTGTAATATAGAATTGATCCCCCATTTTATATACACAGTATAAATTCATGTTTATCAAATTCTGATTAGGTATAAATCCACCTCTTTTTATCATTAAATCATTATTATCTCTAAACAAATAAATTCCTACAAGCTAAATATATTTTATGCCTTTAAATAACCCGCAAAGGATTGATAAACCGTAAAAATGGATCAAAGTAAAACAGCATATAAACAGGTAGAAATTATATGTTGCTTTAACACTAGGATGGCCAGCTACTTTGACATCTTTATGGACATTACGCCGTGAAGCAGCCATCTCTAATATATTCAATATTCAAGTCAGGAATAACAAGTCTGAAAAGAAATTCACAAATATTAGTATACCTCATACTGAAAGAAAGTGATTATATATATATATATATATATATATATATATATATATATATATATATATATATATTTGGTTGGATAGATGTGAGTTTAGTGACCCTGGGTTTCATTTTTAGTGATCATCAGACAAACAAATTAATTAATTAAGTTTGTCTGACGATCGCTAAAGCGTGAAACCCAGGGTCACAAACTCACATCTATCCAACCAAATATGTTAGCTCTATCTCTGATATTGAGCGCTTTCTAATAAGTACCGCGCATATAATATATAAATAATTATACATATATATATTTATTTATATTTATATACACTTTTCACACACACGCACACACACACACACACACACACACACACATATATATATATATATATATATATATATATATATATAAATTATGTGTGTGTGTATAGATAGATAGATAGATAGATAGGGGACATAAACACAAGTATTATTGCTTTGTGAGAAATTTTTCAATGCATTTACCCTATAAATAGCCTCGATGTCAAAAACGACACCTCGGCCATTCAAGGTAAAACCTCAAAAATCAGCTATTCCACTGAATATTTTTTTAAAGAATTAAGTCTGTTAAGCATCTTTGCTAAAATTCAATAATTGTCCATAAGCCTCAGCATCGAACCAAAACTAGTTATTCCATAGGAATTTGTTGAAAATTTGAAGGTGTCGAAAACGACACCTCGGCCATCCTATTGTTAAAGAGTATATATATATATATATATATATATATATATATATATATATATATATAATTATTAGGAGGATTTGATAATTATATTTAATTAATTCATCGAGTCTGATAGAAACCTCAACAGAATGCAGAAAGCACTGGACGGCCGTTTCGTCCTATATTTGGGACTCATCAGAAGTGCGCATCCACTACCCAGAATTGAAACCCTGCATTCTGTTGAGGTTTCTATCAGACTCGATGAATTAATTAAATATAATTATCAAATCCTCCTAATAATTACTATCTGTGTTTATCATCGCTTGAACCGGCTTCTAATGCTCTAGAGTGAGCGGCTTGGTGAGAGTAGTTGTGGCTCCAGGAGGCACATTCCTATGGTTACAGAGAACTGAGTTGAGTTCCGCCACGGAATATGTGAGCGAGCGGCGCTAAGTTGAGTCTGATTTGGAATCTCTTCGTCACCGAGGCCCATTTGGAACAGTTGCTATGATGTTCGCTTGACAACCTAACTGTCAGGGTTTCAGTTCTAGGTAGTGGATGCGCACTGCTGATGAGTCCCAAATATAGGACGAAACAGTCGTCCGGTGCTTTCTGCATTCTGTTGAGACTCGATGAATTAGTTAAATATATATATATATATATTTGTTTAAATAATCTAATTTTTCGCCTCATGTATATATATATTTTTCAGACTTCTTATCTAAGATATCATAAAAGAATTTTGTCAGATTTACTTTTATGAATAAAATTATGGCCTTCGGGCAGTTCAGATAGCTTGAAATATTAAAACGTTTTGGGAGTGCAACGTTGATTTCAGCAATTCCATTGTGGTGAAGCCAGCCTTGAAGATAGGAAAGGCTGTCGATGTTAGCCTTGCATTGAAAATGAAAAATTGAAAACATTAGTGGGGGTAAATCCTTACACCAAGAGTGCTAGGTACAAGTATTGGATCAATTTCTGAGCATTTGAACAAAATTTGAAAGTTTAAGAAATTGGACAAATATTTACTACACAAATGAAAACCAAAAGAATTGTCATTATGACCCATTTCTCGATCACCTTGTAATAAGTGATGAGAAAAGGAATCTATGTGACAAACGACCACATTTAGGGTAATGGTTGAATTGAAATGAAACTCTTGAACACTTCCCAAAGCCGAAGTTCCACCAAATGAAGATTATGGTAACTGTTTGGTGTTCCAAAACTGGATTGATTCGATACAGCTTTCAGAATCTTGTTGAAAAATCAATCACAGCTGAGATGGATTGCCAAGAAATCGATCAAATGTATCAGAAATTGCAGCGTGTCTGTCCAGCACTAGCCAATAAAAAAAAGCCCAATCCTCTTTCACGGCAATGCTTGGTCACATGTTGCACAACGAACTCTACAGAAATTGATTTAATTGGTCTACGAAACACTACCTCATCCAACTGACTCACCTGACCTCTCGCCAACAGATTACCAGCTTTTTCAAACATTTAGATAACTTCTTACAAGAAAAAGTTTTCAACAATTCAATTGTAAGGGAAGCAGGAGGATAGAAGGAGTAAGAGAGGGAGGAAGAGTATAAGTAGGAGAAGGAGAAAGAGGAGGAAAAGAAGAAGAATGAGGAGGAAGAGAAGAACAAGGATTAGGAGGAGGAAGGGACGAAGGAGGAGGAGGTGGTGGCGAAAAAGAAGAGAAGAAGGGGGAAGGGGGAGGAAGCTAAGAAAAAGAATGAGGAGGAGGTGGAGAAGAAGAACAGGAAGGGGAAGGAGGAAGAAAAGAACGAGGAGGAGGTGAAGAAGAAGAAAGGGTTATGGGAAACTTTAAAAGTCTGCATTATTTTCTGAACAACGTAATAGCAAGGCCCCTGTAGATTTTACAAGATTTCTTCTCATCATTGTGGAAAAGATCTCAGTCCGTTTAGCATAAGTATGTATACATTATTTCGTCCACCATGATTACATAGCAGGGTAGACTTGGCCGTCTAGCCTTGGGTGGTAGCAAGTCTACGAGAAGGACAACTTTGGTGCAAAACTGTCGAAAAAAAAAGCAACAGGAAAGCACTCATATTTCCGAAGAACAACGACAATTAAAGCGAGTCGTCAGTTGAAGACAGCTCCCCCGTGTAGCAGCAGATCTCACTTTTTCTCGCCTGATATGGTTTAGACAAAAATCATTAAAACACAAACAGGCCAACACACATGTAAGACTTTAATACACTTCTCTTTTCTGTCTCTTTTTACCTCCTACCCACTACATAGCCCAAAGATGGCATTTAAGCATGAAACAGACTATCGCTACTTGGTTTTAAAAACCTCAGTGTCGACTTTTATATTTATATTTACATACGATCTATTCCTTATATATATATATATATATATATATATATATATATATATATGTGTGTGTGTGTGTGTGTGTGTGTGTGTGTGTATGGAGAGAGAGAGAGAGAGAGAGAAATAATTAAGAGGATTTGAAATAATTATAATTAAGTAATTCATCGAATGAATGCAGAAGGCACTGGACGGCCGTTTCGCCCTATATTTGGGACTCATCAGCAGTGCACATCCACTACCGAGAATTGAAAACAGTTACGACAGGAGGCAAACCCCATAGCAACTGTACCAACGGGCCTCGGGGGATGAAAAGGTAACGAACTAGACTCAATATAGCCCCACTCGATCACATATTCCGTGGTGGAACTCATCCGAGTTTCCCTTACCCATAGGACTGCGCTCCCACGAGCCACTGTTGACCATGTTCGCAGCACTTAATCTGTACAATGAAACAACGTTAAAGATTAACACTCACGAGTCAGACACTCTACTGAATCTGACTATATCGCCAATACCACCAGCAGCTGTTCCGTAATTCTTCAGTCTTCGATGTCAAAGGCTGGCAGTGCATATTCGGGAAAAAAAAACATGGCCGCCTTCATACACGTCGCATTGAATATTTTCAGCTTTCTGATTGGTTAACCCTTCTATTGGTGAACTCTAAAATGAGTCAGCTCATTTTGACTGGCTCACTAGTATACGAGGGTACCCCAAAACTGTAACAGCCACGATTACTATCCCCAAGCCGCTCAGTCCAAAGCATTAGAAACCGGTTTAAGCAATAATATACAGATAGAAATAATTAGGAGGATTTGCTTATATATATATATATATATATATGTGTGTGTGTGTGTGTGTATATATATATATATATATATATATATATATATATATATATATATATATATATATATATATATATATATACAGATGTATACATACATATATATACAGATATATATATACAGATGAGTGAATGCCTGAGAACGTTTACTTTCCGACCATGAGATCCGGGTTCGAATCTCTCACCATGGTCGTTTTCTCAGGAAGGTGACTTCTTGATGTTATTGAACCGGGCAGGTGCTTAGCAGCGTGCGGCCATCTTTGAAAAATGTACTTGAAAATCCATACCACGAAATGACCCTGGCCTTGTGAGTAAAATTGTGTAGACGGAAGTGTTCAGCGAAGATTGTGCCAGCACGAAGTGACAAGTCGTCGTGACTGAGCGTGTTCAAATACATATATATGCCACTGTCAACTATTGTAGTATGCAGATTCTGTAAATATGTATATAATGTGTGTTTCTCTGAAAAAAGACTTATCCGGCCATATCGCGTTGAAACACCGGTTTTCGTGCGATCAATGAAGTTGAGCAACATTGAGCCTGGGCAGTATGTGGATGGGTGAACTCTTGGGAATACCAGGACGTGGAGATAATGTAGAGAAACGGATAATGTTTCAACTACTCAGACTGCTCGAATCATTAAAAGCTTGTGGAGAAAGATCTGTTAATGAACGTATGGTACCGCCATTGTTAACAGAAATTTTTGCCGTAGTGAAACCAGCCTTGTAAATAGGAAACGTCGTCGATGTCAGCTTTGCACTGAGGATGAGAAATTAAAAAAATTATTGGAGGCAAATCCTTGTGCCACTGTTCAAGAGATTGCAAGTTTTTTTTTTTTAAGCATTTCACCCCAGGCAAGGCGGGAAGCCACTAGCACGCAAGGGGTTACATAGGATTTGGAGCGAGAGCAGATAGGAGTGATAGAGGAAAGGATGAAGATAAGGATAGTGGATAGATCAAGGCAACTGGAGATGTCGATTGACATTACATTTGAATAGCTGGATATTATAGCTCTCAGAGAAAAAGGAAAAGATAAGGGTTTCCACATGCGATTGGTGCGAGACATGAAGCTATTGGAGTAGAAAAGACGGCTACATTTAACAGTTTCAACAGTGAAAGGGTGAGAGCGGGATACCAGCCTCGTAGGGCACTTGAATTCATGAAGTCTGGGAACCAGCGAATGCAGCTCCTCGGAGCAATTGCCATGAAAGTATTTGTGAAAAAGACAGAGAGAGGCGACGGCACGTCTGTAAGAGAGCGAGTGCAAACGAGATGCCAGATCAGGGCCAATTGCATTGCATATCCGTCTCTGGATCTTATCAAGAACCCCGAGCCAAGCAGAAGGGGCTCCAGACCATATATGGCAGCAGTAGTGAACTAGATTGCATGTGAACAAAATTTGGCTTGAATATCAAATGTTTCCTCTTAAGATAAATGGCTAATATTAACATACAATAGATTTTACAAGAATCATTCTCATGAACGCAGTAAAAGTAAAATAATGATTCGAGGAACTGGAAGTGGTTGTCGGCCACAATCTTAACAACTTAAGATACGCAGACGCCACAGTTCTGATAGCAGACAAGGAAGAGAAATTACAAAATCTCTTACAGAAGGTAGTGAAGGAGAGCAAGAAGAAGGGACTAAGCATAAACTACAAGAAGACGGAGTGTATGGTCATCAGTAAGAGGAAGAGCCCGAAATGCGATTTGCAGGTCGGGAACACTAGAATCTAGCAGACGCGGAAGTTTAGATACCTGGGAAGCGTTTTGACAGAGGACGGTAAGTGCGACACTGAGATCCGTAGACGTATTGGGATGGCCATGGACGCATTCCAAAAACTATTGCGAGACAGCAGGATGTCTTTGTTAACAAAGAAAAGAATACTGAGCTTTTACGTGACATCTGTCCTTCTTTACGGCAGCGAATGTTGGACGATTTCCTCAAAGATGAAGAAGAGACTCGAGGCGACAAAGATGTGGTTTTACAGAAGGATGCTAAGGATATCATGGACCGAGTGTGTGAGCAGCGATGAGGTCTTGGAGAGGTTGTCAACAAGGAGGAGGCTTATACTTAACATCAGAAAGAGGAGGCTGAATGTTGGACAGTCTCCTCAAAGATGAAGAAGAAATTCGAGGCGACGGAGATGTGGTTGTACAGAAGGATGCTGAGGATATCATGGACCGAGCGTGTGAGCAACAATAAGGCCTTAGAGGTTGTAAACAAGGAGGAGGCTTATACTTAACACGAGGAAGAGGAAGCTGAAGTCTGTAGGACACATAATGAAGAAGGAGGGGGAACCTCGGCGTGGTGTAAAGGTTAGCAAGCATGTCTCGCTAGATCAGTTACGACTGAAAAGTGAGTTCGATCCTCACTAGATGCTCCATACTTTTGGCCTTGTACCACATCTAAGCTACGCTTAGAAAATAACCATAATGAGGAAGATGGGCTGATACACACGGGTCGAATAGCGGGAAAGAGAGACAAGGGAAAATAACGTGTGACATACCTAGCGGGATTAATCAAGTGGATGACAGAATGTGGTCTAAGGGAGGAAGCAGAGGGAAGGAATTTGTTGAGAGCTGGAAGGTATACAGGGAGGTGGAGAGCCATGATCGCCCACGTCCTGAAAGAACATGGCGCATAAAAAGAAAGAAATGGAATCACTTTTAGAGATTTTCTTTCTTTCTTTAGCGTTCTAACACTAAAAACGTGGAAGCCTGAAGTAATAATGTCCAGTCTTCCTATCGGACGCCCCATGATAACACATCTGTACGACATGCCAAGAAATATATTCAATAAAACACATACTAAAAAATTGTAGCGACTTCAGCCAAATCCAGTTAAAATATTGCCAAACAACCAAAATGAAAGAACATTTTCAGGACATTTGTCCATATAATATCCTACAATTCCTTCCTCTAGTAATTACATCCACATAAACATATATATGTACAAAAGCTGAGTATCATCTACCATGTATTCAATTGTGAAAGCAGAATAACACATCATATTTTTATTACTTCAAAGCTCCCAAGATAATTAAATTTCGGGATTAAATGACCCATAAAGAATTTGATATGCCGTTAAATAAACAAATCAAATGAAATCGTTGGCTGACCTTTCAAGAGAAAAGTATGATAGAAATAATTAATCCTTGAATTCGCCGCCTTGTTTATGAGGTGAACTTTTCTGAGTTTTGTTCAGAAGTCGAATCAGTTTTTACACCCAGTTTTATGACTCGTTGTTATTCATGATGACGGTCGTCTTCGAGTATAGAATCCAGAGGTTAGCAGCGAATATTTCGAAGACAGTAGGAAAGCGTTGTTCAGGTTAGCAGTGGATATTTTGGTAAAAGTAGCAGAGCATAGTTCTTCCTTCTGTTCCTCTTCGCCTGACAAGCTGGCACTGGACATTCGGGTAGAGTGAACAAAATGGCCGCCTTTATACACGACGGATTGAATATTTTACGTCTTCTGATTGGTTAACCTTCTATTGGTGGACTATAAAGTGAGTCAAGTCATTTGAGCTAACTCATTAGTTATATATATATACACAAAAAAACTGCAACACTCGTAACCAAACAAGTAAATCAATAAGGGATATTAGTATTTAATTAGTATCTGGTAGTTATCTCCCTTGAATAATGTTTTTTTTCAGTTGTCCATAAATGAAAACCAATGTTAGGGTTCTAATTTCTCAGAAACGGATTTTCTCTTTTACATCCCAAATGTTCTGCTTTTGAATTTTGGAACCCATGAGGAGCTGATATGCTGTTCAAAATAGAAATCACTTAACCAATCTATCAATGTCAAGGTTCTCTCTCTATAGCCATACCTATGTGCAAATTAATTGAAACAACCGCTTTATTTTCCTATTTTTCAAAATATGGTAAGTTTTAGATCCACTGGAGTGACAGGGTGTAATCGATTTCTATTTTTTTCTTAGATTAGGTTATTTGCACTGGTGTGAGTAATATGAATCTATTTTGCGGGTGTATGATGAAATTTGTTTGGCTATGAAAAATAGTGTGTAATCCGTGATTGCATCAGATTTTTATCACGCCCAGACACTATTGTCTCGATTGTCGATTAGTTGTTCTATGGCCATTGTCTGCGAGGGACGTTACTCCAAGGAAGCGTACGAAAATTGTAACACTACATGAACACACTGGCAAGCGTTACCAGTGATCAAATCAAAGTACTATAGACTGGCTCAGAAACTCTTTTGATTTAAATCCAGTCGAGAATCTGTGGTCAATCTGCAAGGAACGACTCCGTGGAATGGACATACGAAGTACTAACATGGGCACTGTGCCATGTTTTATTCTAAAAATACGAAACAAAAGTAAATAATAACGGAAGTTATTTGTTATTTGCTATGCGTTGTACGGGTAGACCGTAAATCTCAATCAAACATTTCAAGAGACAAGCTTTTGTATCAAAAGATAAAACTAGATGAATTAACATGAAATCGAAGAGAAAAAATGCGTAATGCCGCTCATTGAATATGGAAAAATCTAAGACACTATTGTCTCGACTGTCGATTAGTTGTCCTACGGTCACTGTCAGCGATGAACAGAAAGCGTACGAAAGTGTACGAAAATTGGAACACTGCATGGACACACTTACCAGTGAGCAAATCAAACTACTATAGACTGGCCAAGAATGAGTAATACCAATAAGTATGATTTTTAGCAATTCACAACTTTTTAGGGCTTCCAAGAATTTGCTTCTTTTGATATAATACCCAAAGACCATAATAACATCAGGCAAAATTGTCGTGAGATGCCACATTCTAAAGTCATTATTATTATTATTATTTGAGAGAGCAGCACACCAACAAAGTAAAGCTGGGATACAATTAACTGATTGATTTGTTTTTACGGCTTATCAACCCTTTGCGGATTTTTTTTTTTTTTTGATATTTTTAGATTGTAAACATTTTTTGTGGGTAATAATGAGTCAATGATACCAGTCTAATTAACCCATAGCTGGGGAAGAAGAAGTCGTACCTCATCAGATTTTGATAAGAATATATAGTGGTGGAATCAATTCTATATTACAATCAATATATAAACTGATCCCTCACTTTGTGGCTACGGTAGTTTTTATATATTTATATTCCAAATATGAAAATAAATCTAAAAGACATGCCGGCAAGAAATAATAATGTGGATATAAAGTGGGGGATCAATTCCATATTACAACAATATATAAGCTGATCCCTCACTTTATGGTCACGGTAGTTTCTATACATTTATATACCAGAGAATGCAAATCTAAAATACATGCCGACAAGAAATTATTTGAATATAAAGTGGGGGATCAATTATGTATTACAATCAATAGATAAACTGATCCCTCACTTTATGGTCACTGTGGCTTCTATACATTTATATTCCATATAATGTAAATAAATCTAAAAGACATGCCGACAAGAATATTATAATGTGAATATAAAGTGGGGGATCAATTCTATATTACAATCAATATATAAACTGATCCCTTATTTTGTGACCCCAGTAGTAAAAGACGTTTGTGCAGCTAATCAGTATTTTACTGATTCATTTTTACGGCTTATATAAACACATTGCAGGTTATTTAAAGGCAGAAAATATTTTTAGATTGTAAGAAGATTTTAAATAATAATGATTTCGTGATATAAGTCGTACTAATTAACCCATAGCTGGGGAGAGAAGATATGGATTCATACCTTACCCAAGAGTATTTGTGCGTAAATGAATATAACGAACCCAAATGGAATATAGAACTCGGCTCTCCAGTTAACAATTCCGTGAATTTTACCCATTCCACCGTCGGCACATCGAAGCTTACAGCGTCTGGTATTCCCAAAACGGCCACCCATCTCGGTACTGACCCGGTTCGACGTCGCTTATCTTCGGTGATCATACCGAAACCGGTGTTTCAATGTGTTGTGGTCATAAGCCCTGGGATACGAAGCCCAATATACCCGTCATGGTACCCACCCTTAGCAGGGTGGGTACCATCCACATATACCACAGCCAAATGTTTATATTATTGTGAATGGTTTTCATATAAGCGGCTCATAACCTTGCATGTGGGGCCCAATTAGTAATGCCTTCAGGCCAGTGACCCTGTCCGCTCAGCTGGTTTTCGAATGAGGGTGTAATCCATGTTTCTATATGTGATTCCTAAATTCTGTAGCTGTCTCATCCTTGAAGCTTAAAAAAAATAAAAATTAAACAACCTTCTGGACACTCGGTCATGATTCTCCTCCACTTCCCCAACTCATAAATAAAAATGCACGGTGCGTTAGCCCCTAGGGGACACGCCCCACATGTTTAGGGTCAGGAAACCGACACGCAAATCTCTGCTACTGAACGAGGCATTTAGTGTGGTGTAGCCCATCTTTATTTGCCAAGACAAAACATGCAGATCCCAATATTTCCAGTCTTTTGAGAATAAAAGCCATGAGAGCCCTGGTGTAGAGTCGGGACATTCATTATTATCATTAATATTATTCAGGCCTGCTGCCTAATTGGTAAATGATGGAGATAAAGTGACAGCAAGTCATTCAGAATTGTTAAGACTCATCTCCCTGAACTATTGCGAAAATTTACCAGAAATTACTATTATTATTAATAGTAGAAGTAATAATATTTCTTCTTCTTCTTCTTCTTCTTCTTCTTCTTCTTCTTCTTCTTCTTCTTCTTCTTCTCTCTTTATTATTACTATTCCTTCTTCGTCTTCCTCATCTTATTTCTTTTTCTTACATTTTCTTCATTATTATTATTATTATTATTATTACTACTACTACTACTACTACTATTATTACTACTGGTACTACTATGTATTATTATTTCTCATCTATTTCCGATTACTATTATTATTATCAATGTTATTATTACTATTTTCATTACTGATTCTTCGTCCTACTCCTTCTCATCTTGTTATAATTTTCTTCCTCCTCTTTTTATTAAGTTTTTATCTATATTTGGATAGATAGATAGATAGATAGATAGATATGAATAGACTGAGATAGATAGATAGATAGATAGATAGATAGATAGATAGATAGATAGATAGATAGATAGATAGATAGATAGGAAGAAACTGAGGTAGATTGATAGAAATAGACTGAGATAGATATATATGAACAGACTGAGATAGATAGATAGATAGATAGATAGATAGATAGATAGATAGATAGATAGATAGATAGATAGATAGATAGATCCAACATACATAGATGCATACATACATATGATTTGAGATAGATAGATAGATAGATAGATAGATAGATAGATAGATAGATCCAACATACATACATGCATACATACATATGATTTTACATAGATAGATAGATAGATAGATAGATAGATAGATAGATAGATAGATAGATAGATAGATAGATAGGAAGAAACTGAGGTAGATTGATAGAAATAGACTGAGATAGATATATATGAACAGACTGAGATAGATAGATAGATAGATAGATAGATAGATAGATAGATAGATAGATAGATAGATAGATCCAACATACATAGATGCATACATACATATGATTTTACATAGATAGATAGATAGATAGATAGATAGATAGATAGATAGATAGATAGATAGATAGATAGATCGGTATGAATTGATAGATATACTTGGAACGATGGATATGAACAGAATGTGATAGATAGATAGATGTATAGATAGATACAGAGAGAAAGAGAGAGAGAGAAAGTGAAAGAAAGAGAAAGAGAGAGATCTTTGGAACTTACACTTTAAACCCTCCATTGTGCATCGCCAACAGAGACCATTCCGACACTCCTGCAGACACTCGCATAATATAAAAGATGAAACACGGACAAGCCACACAGAACGACAGTAGTAGAAGGCGAGCCAAGTGCTGCGTTCGTACGCAGACCATTTTCCTCCTACTACTACCTTTACGGTCGCGACTACTACTGCTGCACTTCTGCTGCCGCTTCCACTGCAATTACCACTGCAAGCTAGCAGCAGCAGTAGAAGCAGCAGTGGTAGACCGCTTCACACACGCAGAGAGGGTAGTCGGCGGTCAGGGCCCAGCTAATGTCGGTCACTACTTTGTGGGGTGTGATCAGTCCATGAGAGTGACCACCCACACTCGTGGTCAGTCATGCATTCTTCTCTCAGTCTCACGTAGCGGGCGTCAGCTCTGTTTATTTATTAGTTATTTTAGTTGATTCTGTCATATTTATTATTTTCGTTTATTTTAATTTTTTTGTCCGTCCCTCTATGTTTTTTTGTTTTATTTAATTTTTTTTTTTCAGTTTATGGCCTAGCATTCCATTATTTTTCATTTTGCTTTCGAATGACACTCTCGTCTATGTAAAAAAAAAAAAAAAAAGAAAAAAAGAAAAGAAAAAAAAACGCCTGTTTCCTTCATTTTTCTAAGGTCGGTTAAAATTTTCTTTATTTCTTTCAAATTAGTTCTTTAAAGCCTTAAATAATCCATTCTCTTTATTTCCTTGTTTCAAATTCGACAGCTTTCTTTTCTTTTTTCTTTTTTTTTTTAAATAGAATCGTATTAATTCAGCTATTTTTGTGAATATCTATTCGATATATCTCTTTCTTTCGTTACTAACACATCTAATTCAATTATTATTATTATTATTACCATTATTATTATTATTATTATTATTATTATCATTATTATTATTTCGCTTTTGTTGCTTCCTCTATTTTCACTAGGTTCAATTTTATATTAAGACGCCCTTCAATATATCTACTTATATATATATTTATATATATATATATCTATATACATATATATATAAGTATATATACAAACACACAAATATATATATATATTTATACTTATATAAATATATATATATATATATGTATCTACACCAGGAGTGATATACATTCAAAGCGAGCCACTTTTCATACTACAGTTACAAATTGAACCTGTTCGAGCAACAATTTTCCAACGCGGAGGAACCAAAGTGAATCGGTCTATAATTCCATGATTCTATATCACGAAACAACGTTTCCAATAAGGAATATTTGCATTGGTCGCTGTGAATTTTTAACTACAGGAATACACGGATATCCTTTCTATTGTGTGATTCGTCATTTCGGATAAATACCTTCAAAAGTCAAGACCTGCACGCTTACACACTAATCAACACCAACGATATAAACATACGTAAAACCGTAAAGAACACACTGTTTTCCTTACACACATACACACATATCTAGGTATAAAGATATACATACATATATATGTATATTATCTAAATATATACACATCAGCACTTAGATATATTAAATATATATTTTATTATATCATACAATATATATACATATAAAAATATATATATGCATGCTTTAATTCAAATTGGTTGATTGTCTAAGGAAAACGTCACGATAACTAAGTCCCAGTTGTCTGTTAAAGCGTTTTCCCTTCAATCAAAAATATAGGCCGGCACAAACCTTTACATACATATTCTAAATAATTGCTGCACCCACACTTATATAGACACGTAAACACGCCTATGTCATACACATACACGTGACTTTTGTCACAAATACCTTTTCCTATCTTTGTACTTCCACTTATAAAAGGCGTACAAGAATAATTCACCCACAACACTCTTTGGATGTACCCCGACGCCTGACATGGAAAATCAACAGAATTGTAGACACTAGTGGAGAATGGTATTGGGTTCAAATCATCACCTTTTTATTCACCCTCCAACCCGGATTCTTATCGATAGAAACCGGAACGTTGGCTGGGTGAATTTATAAAGGGTGTGTCCAGCCCCAATTTTTTTTTCCTTCGTCTCGAAATCGTCGAGTACGGAGAACAAGCCAATTCTCGGATGTCTAATATGGACGGCGTTTTTTCATTTCACAGTGGATGTATATTGTATGACAGAGATGGAATTACGTGTGGATGGATTTAGCAGCGAAGGAGGTCCGCCTCCACCAGAACCCCGAAGGAAGATGTCACTGTCCCCTTGGGACACAGGTGGTATTGGAAGTGGAATTGGTATGGGGTTTGGCTTGTACCGGCCTCGACGTCCAAGTTACCTTTATGCAACGCAAGTCAATAGACAAAGAAGCGAAAGTTACCGGCATGCAGTTCGAAGGGATAACCCTGATGTTTTGGAGCAGACAGATGACTTTATTGACGGGATGTTACAGCGGAAACGAAAGGAGAGTTACATGAAAGCCACTAGAAAAATCGAGGACATAGAATTGGAGTCGTTTCAAAACAGATTAACATCGGAGACGGCGCTTAAAGCAGACGATGCACAGAGGAATAGTAGCGTGGTCAGTAACAGTATAAAAGAAAAGCGAAAACCTAAACGAGATATTCGTAACTCTCACGTTGTCTTCCAGGAACCAGACGAAAACGCATGCCCGAGTGAAAACGGTACAATCCCACCTCTTGTTGTGTTCACTTTTAAAAAGAACTTAGTTCTAATTTGTATCAGTTTTATCTTAACCTT